GGGAACTAGAGCCCCTTGCCAAGTCATGAGTTATCTTTTTTTTTTTTTTTTTTTTTTTTTTTGGAGTTATCCTTTTAAATTGCTGGATTGGGAGAGGTCCAGGAGTCTGCTGGGGAAGCAACCAGGGTGACCAAGGTGATAGAGGGCTTAGCGGGTGACTAGTTATCAACTGATAGAGAAGTATTTTAATACTTTAATTGCCAGTATGGCCATACTTGTACATAGCAACTGAAGAGCAGGCCTGCCTAAGACATGCTATAAATGCTCTTCACATTTTAACTGAAATGGGGAATGGGCAGTGGGCCACCACAGCCAACCCCTCAGGCACCATACCAACCCTGGCTGAGGCAGGCCACTGGAGCGAAGCCTTCAGGAGCCCTGGGGAGGAGCTCCCCTTCCTGCCAGCAAGTCCTCTCTGGGTAAAGACAGTTGATTTTTCTCACCTGGTACACATCTAGTATATGGTAGGTGCTCGTTGTTGCAACAATGAATAAATTGGCCTGCAGTCCCTGAACTGCTCATTAGTGTTCTTAAGTTAGGCCAAACCTGGGGCTGGACCTCTGCCACTTTCCTCCAGCTTCTGCCCATGTATTGTCATACCTGTACCTTATCCTGTCCTGTCCCTCCCTTGACCAAAATGTGAAAATAGATCTGTAACCTTTTCCTTTGAGCAGATTTTGTAATCCAGTTACTGAACTAACAATGAATACTAGGGTCTCCACCTGAAAGTTTGTAAGTTACCTAGAGTCATGTACCTGAACAGGCTACAGGTTAGTATCCTTCATCTGTGACATCTGGCCCTGCATTAAATTCTTGAGGGACAGCTCAGATGTCCCTCTTGGCAGCACAGTAAGTGCAAACTTTAGAAAAAAGGAAGAAATCAGAGAAGGAGAACAGCCTGCTTCACTTGTTCAACTATTTGAGCACCTACCAAGTCAGGGAATTATGCTGGGCACCAGGGCTAGTCCAGTGATGAGACAGACACCCCTGCTGAAAGCTGCAGTCATGTGGGGGAGTCAGACATTCAACAACTAACCACACAATCATTTATTTAATTACAGTGAAGACTGCTATGAAAAAGATCAGGGTGTCATGGACAGTGTGTGGGTGGCAAGGCAAGGCTGGTCAGGCAAAGCTTCCCTTGGGAAGTAAGCTATGGGTTCTTCTTCACCCATTCATCACTGCTCTAGAGAGCTCAGCATCTCTTCTGAGAACCTCCCAGGGATCCCAGCTAATGGCCATGAAACACCAACCTAGATTTTCTTATTATTTTTTTCTCATTCCCTTGCCAACTTTTTTTTTTTCTTTTTACTAATACAATTACTTTTAAAAAACAACAAGCCACTATAAAAACCTGTAAATCTTTTTGATGTTCCTCTTTCAAAATCTGAATTTCAATTTTGTGTCTGTCATTTGCTTCTTCAAGTGCTTTCTCCACTGCTTGTTTTTGACGTTCATTAGCCTTTGAAAGAAAGAGTCCATTTATCTATTAATGTAGCAGAATAAGCACAGGGCAACTTGGCTTATTCGGGATGTTAGTAAATCAGGTTTTCAAATTTACTGAAAATTAGCAACCACCATGGAGTCCCTAATTTCTTGCCCCATTCCCATCTCAAACCTCCCATATCAAACTGTCTGCCTTAGCCAGAGATGCTCTAACGCATCCCAATCCAGGGCTAGCCTTGCCGTTTCTGGAATCGCTAAAGGCAAGGCAGCTTTACTATACGTAGGCTGCTGGGTTGCCTTTTCTCTTTGGCACTTTATTTCTTGCTTGATTGACTCTCAAAATAACATATGTGCATTGTGGAAAATCTGGAAAACACAGTGAAGTGAAAAGATGTACAAAGCTAGAAGGAGCCGAGTAAAGAGGCAGAGTACCATCCAGGTCCCCCGCATTAGATCCTCAGAAAGAACTTCAACTCTATTTGAAAAGAATACACAGAACACTAGACCAACTTACATTCAAATTGTAGACTATTTACAAAAGCATCACCTTGTATAATTGATGTATAATTGATGGTTCACAATCAGTTTGAATTTTACCACTAATAAAAATAGATGACTACAAAGATTTTGAGATAAATCAAAATCTGGGGTATACAGAACTGGAGTATTCATACAGAACTGGAGTATTATGTATGTTCAAAACATTTTCATAACAAGCTTTTGCTGGCATTAATACTGAACAATGCTAATACTATTTGCTATAATGTCTATTTTATAAAGAAACTGAGAAACATTGTTCTAAGCACAGTGGCTTGTTCTGCTCTCAAGGAGCTGTAATTCTCTTTAGGAAGTTATTGATGTCATTCTATGATTGGAAGAAGTGGGGCTACAGGATTGAGGCTTTGCTTCAGTTTGATGCCTTGGATCCCAATGTCAGCCCTGATATTTAAATTGCCCTTATAGCGCTCAGCAGTCGTATGGACAAGGTATTAAGGATTTTGGAGAGAGGGGAGGAAAAGGGGAGTAGGCCATAGAGAAGCATTTGAAGAAACAGGAGTGTTACATGCTCCACAAATGGATAGTCTATATATTAAATGTTAGGCCATAAGAAACAACTATCAACAAGGAGTCTTCTTAGTTATTTTTTTTTCTTTTTAGTTCTGGTTTCAATCAAATGAAAATAAAGGGAGCAGGAGTCCTCCATACAGAGAGGGCAGCTGAGAAGGAAGGAAGCTCCTGATGATGCCAGCTTCTTACTAAGCATCTACTGTATGCCAGGCATATTATTTCATTGAACCCTCCCAACTATCCCACAGAATGGGTACTATTATTCCTCTTTTACAATGAAGAAACCAAGACTACAGAGGTTGTAGAACTTGCCCACGGTCCCACAGCTAGCCAGGATTCAGTCAGTTCTGACCACTACACTATACAGTTGTTTCAGACAAATCCAAAATGTGAAAGAATTGTAAAGATGGACTTTGGGTTGACATGTAACTTCTTTTACCTGAGCCCATACTTCAGCTTCTGCTTTTGCAATGCGTTCTCTGAGTATATCTTCTTGAAACTTCTCTTCTTTTTTCAGAATATTTGCCCCAATATCTGTGTATGTGAAGAGCAATGGTCACAAACCTCCACCGATTGCTTCCTGGCTTTCCTTTCCACCATTATGTAGTTATTTATGAGGGCTACTTAGGAGATACATCCTTTTAGGAGATGTCAGTATATATATTTCAAAGATACCCATTGAAAGAGTAAGTTTTTCTCTAATTAGGAGGGAATTCACAGCACTGTCAGGCCTGGATAGAGTTGGTCATTCCTCTCATCACAACCAGTCCACAACCAGCAGACAACTGGGGAGGTGAAATAAATGCCCTGAAGAAAGGGACACATTTTGTACACTCAAAGTAGAATGATGAGTGAATATTCAAGAGGTCTTAGCACATTATACAGCTCTCTCTCTCCCCCTGTTCCTATTTGGGTGCTAGTGCTAGCATCAGGAGAGGCGAAGTGGAATGCCTTCAACACATTACATGCCTTTCTTTAGTCTGTGGTTCTTTGTGGGTTTAACTGCTTCAGTATGGAGTGAGCTAAGGGGTAGAAGTTTACTATTTTTCAGCCAATGATCTAATTTGATTTCCAAATAATAACATTCCCATAATAATATCCTCTCTACCCAGACAAGGTAATAAAAGTCTAGAGGAGGTTAGAGGACCACGCAATATCAGATAGCCAGGTCTTTCTCCACTGGTATTTCTTTCTTTTTCTTTTCTTTTCTTTTTTTTTTTTTTGAGAGGGAGTCTTGCTTTGTAGGCCAGGCTGCAGTGCAGTGTCGCAATCTCAGCTCACTGCAACCTCCGCCTCCCGATTCAAGTGATTCTTTTGCCTCAGCCTCCTGAGTAGCTGGGATTACAGGCGCCCACCACCATGCCTGACTAATTTTTGTATTTTTAGTAGAAACGGGATTTCACTATGTTGGTCAGGCTGGTCTCAAACTCCTGACCTCAAGTGATCTGCCCACCTCGGCCTCCCAAAGTGCTAGGATTAGAGGCGTGAGCCACCGTGCCTGCCCTTCCTTTGGGATTTCTATGCTGAAAGTAATAGATTCTTAGAGCTATCTTGATCCACATTCCTCCTTTCCCAGCGGCTGGAGTAAGTCTAGCTGCAGCAGTAAACCATTAAGCCAACTCACTAAAAGGGTAAGCATGGACAGACTGAAAGCCTTGATGCCAGATTTCCCTTGGGTTTCTCTGTTAAAAAGAGTCAAGAAATTCCATTTTATGCAATCTATTCTGAGTTAATGTTTCTGTCACTAGCAATTAAAAGTATATGTTTGATGGCAGAGAGTCTCCTACTAGTTCATCAGTGAATCTTAAAAACACAGGGCAGCATATATTACAGTAGAGATGGACACAAACTGCAAAAGCCCAACACTGTATAGAAATAATTAGAAAAGATTTTCTAGGACAAAATGTGACTAAGCATGGAGCATCAATGTATTGAACTTCATAAAAATGTGATACAGGCGTAGGCTACCGCTGTCCTCTTTCATGTTTAAATCCCATTGGTTTTATTAGTTGTTTTCAACCCTGATTGTACAACAGGACTCCTGCAAAGCTTTTAGTGCACGTACTGTAAAAGGAAAAAACTATTAATAAACAACTTGGATGAATCTCAAGGGCATTATGCTGAGCGAAGAAAGCCAATCTCAATGGGTTATATAATGTATGATTCTTTAGATAGCATACTCAGTGATAAAATTATAGTGATAGAGAACAGATTAGTGGTTGTCAGGGGTTCAAGTTTGGGGAGAAGAGAATGACAGCTAAGGGGTAACACGAGGGAGTTCCTTTGTGGTGATGGAACAGCTCCATGTTGTGATTGTGGTGACGGTTACATTAACATACACAAGTGCTAAATTTCATAAAACTATATGCCTGGGGGAAAAAAGTATACATAAGGTCTGTACCTGAGTTAATAGTATTGTTTCAATGCCAATGTTCCGGCTTTGACAAAGTGCCAGGATTACATAAGATATCAATGGAAGCTGGATGAAGAGTACAAGGGAACTCTGATATATTTTGCAACTTGTGAGTCTTAAACTATCTTGAAATAAAAAAGGTTATTTAAACATGAAGGAAAAAATACACATGCTTAATCCTGACTGTAGAGGTCCTAATTTAGTGGCTCTGTGTTAGATTAGTATTAAATCCAGTGGGTCTGTGTTTGGATATCTGTATTAATGTATTTTTCAAAGTTCTATATAGTGCACTGCCAGGATTGAGAACTATTGTCCTATGAAATACTCACTAGCTCTTCTATGGACATTTCAACATGCTTTTGAACTTACTTATAAAGAACAGAGAATTTCAACTTTTTTTCTTTTTAACTTAAAACAGTTCAGCGACAAATAAAGGTCACTGAATAGAAAAGATTAATTTCTAACAATAGATTTAACTTATCCACTTAAGGTTTGGGTTAGATATTCCATAAGGCACAAGGAAATCAATCATTAAGGTATATCTAAGAATGGAGATACACTGTCCTGGGTATGAAAAGTCACTTTAGAGATTATAATGAATCATTCATACTAAGCATTTACTAAATGCTAAAAAACAATTTTGGTATTGATGTTTTTAGAGGATGATTCCAATTTGATCTCCCCCTACATTTTAGTGTTTTTTTCCAAACACCTCTCCAGCTTCTTATATTTTCAAACATCAGAAATGAAATGAAATCACCTCAGTTTACCATTTTAAAGGAAGAGAGGATCAGAGGAGTATTTTGAGAGTCCTTAGGAAAATACTTACAAGGCTCAAGGTCAGATTGAAAACTCTTATGAGAATAAAAGAGAGACGGAAACCTATAGCACAATTTGATTTGCTTATGTATTATACATATGTATATACAGTAAAAGTCCTCATGTTATCTATATGTATCTACTTTTATGCCACCAGCTACTATTTAAAGGTTATAGTTTCTTTTACCCATTTATTAGGGTACTTTAAATTTTTTTTTTTTTTTTTTTTAGGCAGAGTCTCGTTCTGTCACCCAGGCTGGAGTACAGTGGCGCGATCTCAGCTCACTGCAACCTCCACCTCCTGGGTTCAAGCTATTCTCTCACCTCAGCCTCCCGAGTAGCTGGGATTACAGGCACATGCCACCATGCCTGCCTAAATTCTTTTAGTAGAGACGGGGTTTCGCCATGTTGGCCAGGCTGGTCTTGAACTCTTGGCCTCAAGCGATATGCCCACTTTGGCCACCCAAAGTGCTGGGATTACAGGTGTGAGCCACTGTGCCCATCCAATTAGGGTATTATTTAGAGATAATATTTCCTCTCCTACACATACTGAAAGGTGCCCAAGTATGGCCAAGGGCAAAATGAACTCACATTTACTATTATGTGCTAGGATTTATAATAGATACGAATACTTCATTAAAGTCTCATAACAATCTGTAAGATAGGTATTAGTATCTTTATTTCCACATAAGGAAACAGATTGAGAGACTAAATACCCTGCCCAATACACACAACTATAAGTGGAGAAGCTGTATTCCAACCCATTTTCTTCTCAAACATCCCTGTACAGACAAGCAACTCTGAAGAGAAAAAAGCTGATAAAAGTCTGTGTACCAGAAAGAATGACACATAACGCTATGAAGTGTTACAACAAAGGAAAACAATAAAGTCACTTACCTAGTATGTCTTTGTGAGTGTAAAAGCGTGTCTTCAGTGGCTTGTATTCATGGATCCGTTTGAAGGTTTTTCCAAAAGGGGCTGGTGGGATTATTTTATTACAAACAGCACAGCAAACAAAGCTGTTGTAATCTGAATTTCTGATCATAGTTAAATTTCAGATGTCTTCTCCTATTTACAGTTAAAATAATCTTAGAATCAGAAAAAGTCGTTTCAAGAAAAGCTGACAGTTTAAGAAAGCTGGAAGAGGTTCAGGGTTTTAGGATGTTAGAGGCTGGTAAGGATTAAATGGTTCACATGATTAGGTAGTGGTTATGTGTCTAACATTAAAGAATGGTACTAAAAGCCCCTGCCATAGAAGGTATGGGCACCAGATTTGGGAAGATTTAAGCAGTTGCTCCTTCCCAAACTCTAGCATTAAGTTGTTAACTTACTTAGCAACTGTTGCTAGGTAAGACAAGCTTTGCTCATAAAAGCAACTTCAAATAATGACAAAAGGGAGCATGATACAGCCATTCATGTTCCTGATACTTTCTATATTAGTTTCCTATTGCTGCTGTCTTACTCTGTTTTCTGTTGCTTATAATAGAATGCCTGAAACTGGATAGCTTATAAAGAAAAGGAAATTATTTCTTACAGTTTATGGAGGCTGAGAAGTCCAAGGTGGAGGAACTGCATCAGGTAAGAATTGTCTTGATGGTGGGAACTCACTGAAGAGTCCTGAGGTGGTACAGGGTATGACATGGCCAGGGGCTGAGCTCACATGCTAGCTCAGGCCTCTCTTCCTCTTCTTATAAAGCCACCAGTTCTCCTCCCACGATAATCCATTAATCCTTTAACCCATGAATGAATTCACTCACCTCTTAAAGGCCCCACTTCTCAATACTACCACATTGGGGATTAAAGTTCAACATGAGTTTTGCAGGGGACAAATATTCAAACCATAGCACCACTGTGACAAACTAACACGAACTTCATAGCTTAAATGTAACACAAATTTATCCCCTTGCATTTCTGGAGATCAGAAGTCTAAAATGAGTCTTAGGGGCTAAGATCAAGTTGTTACAAGGGCTGGTTCCTTCTGGAGGCTTCAGAGGAGAATCTGTTTCCTTGCCTTTTCCAGCTTCTAAAGACCATCCATATTCCTTGGGGTCATGGCCTCGCATCACATAGCCTTTCCCCCCAGTGCTTCCATAGTGACATTGTCTCTTCCTCCGATCTTCTGCCCTGCTTTAAAGACTGTGGTGATTATATCAGCCTCATCTAGATAATCCAGGATAATCTCCCCATCTCAAAATCCTAAACTTACCCGTATCTGTAAAGTCCCTTTTGCCATATAAAGTAACATATTTACAGGTTCCAGAGATTAGGATCTGGACATTTTTGCAAGAAAGGAAAGCATTAGTCAGACTACCACACTTTGTTTTAAATTGGTTTTTAAAGAATTAATTTCTTTTAAGGCCAGCAATGGAGGTAGCTTAATTTCTTTAAGGTTTTTAATAAACGTGATGTTTTGGTGCCATGGTAATAAAACGGGGAAATATCATGGTATCTTGAAGAAGAAATTACTTTCATTAAGTCAGCATTCAAAATTACTAAGCCTGGTTTTAACAATCACGTGGTTAACTAATTTGTTCTTCTAATTTTAGATAAACAGCCATAGAAATTCTGCCTATCACAAAAATCTGTGCAACTGATTACACCAAATAACTGAATTTTTAAAAATTGCCTGACAATGTCATATGCTGCAGCTACTTGGCAGGACTATTTTATAATAAGTGAATACCATCAGTGAAATTAATTTCAACAATAGGACTCCCATAAGGCCCTGAGCTAAGTGTAGCACAAGTTACTCTATAATTTCTATTGACACATACAGCCTGATAACTGGCTGAGGACCTTAAGTAACTATCAAATTGTGCCAGATCTGACTTCAAGAAAAGGGTTACCTGGGACTTGGAGAGGAATTAAAAACAAAGAGATGAATTAGTACTAAGAATGGGGATTACTGCATCCACACAGTTAATTATCTGGATTGGGAACTGAGGCTACTTGTGCCAATGACTTTCCTATCTGTTACTAGAAATTCTTGCCCAGATGAGAGGATAACTTACTGGCCTTGATTTGCCTGGGACTGTCTCTGTTTTAAACTGAAAGTCCTGAAGAACTTCCTTAGTGTCTGGCAAACTGGAAGAGTTGGGCCCCTATGGAAGATAAGGCTGTAAAACCAATAAGTAATTTCAGTGTTTGCCCTAGGAAATCCTTGAAAACTAATTTATCAACTGGACAGCTTGCTGATCTAGGCAAAGAGCTCTTCCATCAGAAGATTAGATTACTCCCCTGGGCAAAGAGCTCACTTAACATTTATTGAACAATAGCTTACTAATCAAGACTTGCTTCAAGATCTAATCTATTATGTCAGGTGTCTTGCCCATTCTCAACCAGATTCCTGCATTGAAAGACCCTTCTTTAATCACTTGAACTCAGACTTCAAAACACTTTAACATCTTCCCCTGACCATCCCCTTCTTAAATACAGCTAACTTTGTAAAAGTGTTATTTCCCCTTAGTGCAGTAGATTCAATAAGCTTAGTTTTGTTTGATCATCAGGTTGTTCTGATGGTCTTTTGAGGGAGCTGGCAGTTAGCAGTCCTTTACATAATTCTGTTTTAAAGTACAGGAGTGTTTCTCTACTTAAGATCTAAACTTATTTTTAAGAGCTAATGTGGCTGCTTTATTATTATGTGGACATTTACACATAGGAGGTGGTATAGTATGGTGAAAAGATCCCTAGACTTTAGAGCAAGAAGATACAGGTTCTAGTCCTGAATCACCATGATCTTTGGTAAATCTCTTAGCCATTCTCAGCCTATTGTCTTAACCATAAACTGACACGACTGGATCAGGTGAAGTTCAACGTTCAGAATCTTCGGACTATTTGAAAGGTATTTTATTTTTGATGGTTATACCCTCATTCAAAAGAGAAAGGATGAAAACATCAACACATAGCCAGGCAGCCGTTGACATCAGCACACACAAAAACTGTCCTACAACTTGTAGCCATTCTGTAAAAAGTATCATAGTCAGGTATTTGTTCCTAAAATTCAGTATGATTCTTTCCTCACACTACTTTTCACAGCTTTGTGTTTGACTGACTCTAGTTACTTTGGCTGATTCACACAAATCTTACATGAGTTAAGTCTGCACCTTGTACAGTTTCTGTTGCCCTCCTGCACTGCAATCTCTTGACAGTTCACGCAACTAATATCTCCTCTGCCACCAAACATCAACTTATTCTGTTAAATAGTAAAAAATTCTAAAAGATGGCAATGTGTCATTAAATGCATAAGTTAAAAACAGAAGAACCCTAGTTTTTTGACAGCCAAAATACACAGGGAAACCAAAAACAAAAGACAGTCTTTAAAAGGGATTTTGTATCACTGAAGTGCATTTTAAACTATATAAAGTACATTATACAGAGAGGCACAGCAAATAAATATTTGGGGCTCAGTAGTAAAGATTTTATTTCGTTGCATGTAAATTCAATTAGCTAAGTTCTTTAATATCTACAAATCACACATAATTACATATTCATATACCTTACAAAACGACAATGAAGTGTGATAATTAAAAATAACATTATGATAAACTCTGCCTGTGCTGTTATTATTATTTGGTAATATTAATAGCAACTGAAGCAAAACTTCAGAGGTGAGATTTACTACTGAGGCCCAGTTACAATGATTTGGAGAATTAGGTACATATCTAGAAATGAAACAGGTCCAGAACCCTTGTGATAAAGATTTGAATTCTATAAGGCAGAATCTGGCCAGACACAGGGGCCTAGCCTTGACCTCTGTCCTAGGCCCCTGGGCCAGGTGCCAGGACAACCAAGGCCATTCTGCTGCTCAGTGCTGACAGTGGGACTCGGCTTTGTTTACACTCATTTTTACCCCCTTTTCTGTCCCCACTTCCATAAAAGACACTTCAAAATGCTGATGCTTCAGAGAATAAGAAACATTCTGAAAAGAAAAAAAACAAAAAGGCCTGCTGGCATATAAACTTCAAAAGAAAAAAAAAGCATGTAAGGTAAACCTGGTACAATAAGGAGACCTTATCTATTTCTTATCTATTGAGTAGTTATAGTTTTTAAATAACTATAAGAACACTTGGTCTTATGTTTACAACATTACTGTAACATTAATTTACGAAAACTAAAATAGATAACATTTAGTTGTAGTCAAAATCATCATACCTCAGTAAAACATACTTTCTTTTTTAAAGAAAAACTCCAATTACTCTGGGATATTCTTATTTAATCTTTATTTTAGCAGCTGAGTGCAAAGATCTTTTCCATTAAAATAAAATTCTGCCCCAAAAATAGCTAAAATGGAAACTGAAATATATGAACCATTTGTGACACTATAAGAACTACTTGTCAGAGCCAACTCAGTTTCTCATATCTCATATTTTTAATATTGACTTCAGGCTTTAAATTTTCTATTTATCTTTCTTTAAAAATATAGGTTCTACGCCAGGGAGAACATGAACATTTCCTTTGCAAGTAGCAAAACACAACTAAACTTTCACGACAGCTGCACCAGCATAATTCATCTTAAAATATTTAAAACATCATGCAAATTTAACAGCATGGGTACTTTTATTATACAGAATTTAATAATTAACAAAGACAACTTCCATTCTCATGGCACTTTTATAAGAGGCAAGGAAAGAAAAATATTATGAAGCTCGCTCTGTGGAAAAAGAATGAGATAACGGCTGTGAAAGGACAAAATTTACGACAGTTGTCTGGTTGCAACTGCTATCTTCTGTCTTCATTAGCATGTTCTAGAACAAGAAATATGATACTGTACACTCACAAGGTCTTTCAGTTGAAGATTTCAGAACGCTTAATAAACGTCCATCTGCAGTAACCAGCACTACTAATCCCATTTGGATGTTTTCCGCCTCATGTAACTGTGCCCCTCACTATCAATAGCTTCATAGAGGTCCTTTTTATTCTCTTGTGTTGCATGCAGATAACCAATATATGCCACGCAAAGTGAAAGAGTTACCAATCCGAAAGCCATTACAGGTTTGTTCTGTCAAAGAAAAAAAAAAGTATAAAGCTTTAGTAAGACTAACAATTTGAGGAGACCCAAATATCAGTTGCATTTTCCTCCTGACATGCCACATCGTTATTACAACACTAGCATTACCACGGCAATATTTCAACTATAATCATTTATTCAGTTCTTTATTCAATTAGCTAAACTACTGATTATCCAGAGATTATAGAAGACTCTTGCTTCTCCTCTCCAGTCTTTCTCCCATCTACACCCTGGACATCTCAGACCTCTACCCTCAGGAAGGTGACAGCTGGGAAAGGAGTGGGGCAGGAAAACTGGCCTGGTACCCAGAGTTTTCAATGTTATCTGTGTGAAGTGGAGGAGCTGCTTAACTTCCTGGGTCCTGGGCCCAAGTCCCTCCATTTGCAAACCTCAAATTAGTTCATTTTATTAGGAAGTGAGGATTGAAGTACACACGCTATTCTTCTTGCCCAAGTCATGAATAACTGGCAAAAAACCTTTTATATATTAGGCACAGAAATGATCATGATGTATACACTCTTCGCTGGGAACCTACTTCATAACCTCAAGAAATTTAGTGATTGGAACAGCTATTATGCTGTTAACCTTGATTTACTTTTGGACAATCCAAGACCCTAAGAGGCAAAGTTATGTTTTCAGCTTCACACACACACACAGAAAAGCTGTGTTGTTGTTGTTGATGTTAAGAGACAGGATCTCACTCTGCTGCCCAGGCTGGAGTGCAGTGTGCAATCATAGCTCACTGCAGTCTCAAAATCCCGGGCTCAAGTGATTTTCCTGCCTCAGCCTCCCAAGTAGCTGGGACTACAGGTGTGCACCACCATGCCTGGCTAATTTCTTTGTATTTTTAATAAATACGGGGTTTCACCATATTGGCCAGCTAGTTTCAAATTCCTGACTTCAAGTGATCTGCCCACCTCAGCCTCCCAAAGTGCTGGGATTAACAGGCGTAAGCCACTGTGGCCAGCCTAATTTTAAATTTTTTTGTAGAGATACGAGTCTCGGTATGTTGAACTCCTGGACTCAAGAGATCCCTCTACCTCAGCCTCCCAAAGTATTGGGATTGTAGACATTAGTCATGATGTCCAACCCCCACACCCCCCCCAAAAAAGCTTTTAAATACAGGAAAGATGTTCACAACTCCAGAAAAGCATTTTTGTTATTCCTGAAACTGTACCTTAGACCATTTTCTTTGCACGTTCACACTCAACGAATTGGCCTTTCTTAGGTCAATGTAAATGCACAGTAGTGATACAAATAATAGTTTCTGCTTCTGTCACCATACCTGCTATACCACTACTGAGAAATAAAAGAAACTCTTTAACTGAGGAATGTGAGCCCCCTTTAAATTATCAGGCCCAGAGAGGCACTGGAATGAGCTAGTAGTCACGTCTTGAGCTAAATAATAATTTTGAAGCCCTTGCTATGTGGGCTCTGGACTGACACCACCAATAGCTATAAATTAACCTTACAATGCCATCCACTAGACATTATAACTCATACTCTGTAATTCAACAATGTATAGCCAATTACTAATCAATGTCATTTCTGCAAACCAATGAAAATTACTGAAAAGCAACTTTTGTACTTGCCCCCTCTCCTGATTCACTTTTTTCCTGAAAAATTCCACCCTCTCCTTTGTTCTCCAGAGTGCTTCGCAAGGTTACTGTGAAGTGTTTCCCAGGTTACAGTCCTCAACCTTGGCCCAAATAAACTCCCTACATATATTAATTTGCCTCAGTTTATTCCTTTAGGTGACATTTCTATTTCAAAATAAGGGTCAAACTTTTTCACTTAGATGAACACCTAAGAAAGGACACGGACTCAGAGCAGTTTAAATTTATAATTCTTGAAATGCTTTTAGCAATTAAAAGAACACATTACTTCAAAGCTTTTAAAATATTTTACCTTGGGCCAGGCGCAGTGGCTCACGCCTGTAATCCCAGCACTTTGGGAGGCCGAGTCGGGCGGATCACGAGGTCGGGAGATTGAGACCACCCTGGCTAACACGGTGAAACCCCGTCTCTACTAAAAATACAAAAATTAGCCGGGCGCGTGGCGGGCGCCTGTAGTCCCAGCTACTCGGGAGGCTGAGGCAGGAGAATGGCGTGAACCCGGGAGGCGGAGCTTGCAGTGAGTGGAGATCGCACCACTGCACTCCAGCCTGGGCGACAGAGCGAGACTCCGTTTCAAAAAAAAAAAATTTTTACCTTGATTTAATGATCTGATTAAGTTGACCTATTTAACAGTTTACACTGGTAACTGTGTTACTAAAATTCTAATCAGATTCAACACACTTAAATATTTATCATATTTTATTTTAACTTGATTTTACATTTATTTTAAAATAGAATCTACATTTATTTAAAAATAAACTCAGCCAGGCGTGGGCTCATGCCTGTAATCCCAACAATTTGGGAGGCTGAGGTGGGAGAATCGCTTAAGGCCAGGAGTTCAAAACCAGCTTGGGCAATATACTGAAACACCATCTCTACAAAAAAATTTAAAAAGGAGCCAGGCATGAAGGTGTGCACCTGTAGTCCCAGCCACCCAGGAGGCTGACGTGCGAGGATCCCTTGAGCCCAGGGGTTTGAAGCTGCAGTGAGCTATGATTGTACCACTGCACTACAGCCTGGGTGACAGAACCTCTAATGAATAAATGAATAAATGAATTTCATCAAATCAAATGTTTTGGAATTTTTCACAAAGTATCTGTAATATTGCTTAGATAAAAATATTACCTACAGGCTAGAATTGCAGTATGTAAGAATGGTCAGATTTTCATTTTGGTTTCCTTGCTTAAATGGAAGGTCTTATTTACCTAATAGTACTTGATCAAACAACAAAAGTTGTCTTCAAATTAATGCAACGATTAAAATAGTACTTTAGATAGTTTGAGAAGCCAATCCATTAAAGTGTAACCATTTTCCATTATAACTCTCAAATGCCCTTAAAATATTTTTATATGTGTATTTATATGTGAAACAGCATTTACAATCGTCCTTCCACCTGCTTTTATTCACAGGGAGGTCTTGTCAACATAAAATTTCCATGATAAAATCAATTACAAGAAAATCAGAACTTCCTGACAGTCTGGTTAGATTAAAAATAAAGTCTTATCCTGGATATATTTCTTACAGGTTTAATGAAGAGCTCTGGATTCACAGCACGAAATAAGGTTGTTGTGCGCACCCGTCTGAGCCCCGGGCTTTGAAAGTCTTTCTCTTTGGGTGGTTCCTTTTTGAATGCTGGAGGCTCAGGTGCTGAAGACATCTTCATCAATGATGAGTTATTATCTAAAAACAAAATAATATATTTTTTCCCTTCATAATTGTGCTTCTCTGATAAATTTCTTTAAAAAGTCATTCTTAAATTCTTTCTTTGAATTCCAACCCAGATACATACCAAAGGTGATTGTCAGTTATCTTATTACTTTGTATTATGCACTTTGTAAATGGTGTTTTAAGTTTAATTTGTTAATTTCATTCATTATTTTAATTTTCACCTCAAAATAAAAGCTGTGGGCAAAGGTTGTTTTCCTACTTTTACAGAAGACGGGAGAATTGTTGGTTGGTCTGAGTCACGTTGTATCACATGAAACCAGGACTGAGAGTAGGTGAGGCCAGTAGGTTATCTGTTCCTTTCTTTATTTCCTCGTTTTCACTCCTCCTCACCTTTCAACAGCTCCTCCAGAACCCCACCCTGAGGGAAGGATCAGCATTCCTTTGCTCATTATCTTCTCCTACAGATTCACTCCTGGCCGGTTTCCTCCACTGCTCCTCTGTCTGCCTCCACGACCACCCACGAACTCATTTTCCCAAGCAGTAAGGATAAGGAGCTGTTTGTACTCACTCCTCCTTTGCCAATTAGCAACTTTCTGGGTAGGACATGCCCTGCTATCTCCTTAATCTTAATATCCTTTTTTATCTTAGCTACTCTAAATCTATCCTATTAAATCCAAGTGTGCCTTTTGTCTTCCTGTTTTCCTAGCTGAAATGTCAGCACTTTGGGAATATTTTTCTCTTCTAGGTATTATTAGGCAAAAGCTTAGTTTATCATCTCTGCCATCTAATGCTGGGATGGGAGGTGAGGGTTGAAAGAGGGGAGGTAGAGAAAGAAAGCTTCCAAAGATAGACATAAATGACAATATAGTAAAATTATTTGGGGGAAATGCTGCAATCACTGTACAGTAAATGTTATTGGGGCTTTGTTTGTATAATTTTTTTTTTTTTTTGAGACAGAGTCTTACTTGATTGCCTAGACTGGAATGCATGTGCAGTGGTGTGATCATAGCTTACTGCAGTCTGCAGCCTCAAACACCTGGGCTCAAGTGATCCTCCCACCTCAGCCTCCCAGGTAGCTAGGACTACAGGCATGCACCACTACACCTGGCTTTTTTTTTTTTTTTGGTAGGTCTCACTATGTTGCCCAGGCTGGTCTCAAACTCCTGGCCACAAAGCAATCCTGCTTCTGCCTCCCAAAGTGCTGGGATCACATGCATGAGCCACCACACCTGGCCAGTATAAGTATTCATTAAGCTTACTATTTTATAGACGTTATAAAATCAATATTTTCACAACTTCATAGTTAAGGAGAAAACTAGGAACTTGGCTTTTCAAAATACATTGTGTTGCAGTAGACACTGAATGTTCATCTATACCACTTGATCAGGTACGCACCTCAAGAGGAACATCTGCTTGAAGAGAAAGGAATGTTCTAAGCACTTTCTACACTTGCAAAGGCTTCAGAAATGTTCACTCTTGCCGGTTCAATCACTTATTCCTCATGCACGTCATGATTATCATTGTTGCCTTCTTCATCATTATCACCGACTTTCTGGTTCAATTTTTACATCAGTTAGCACTCCTGTAGCAACTTCAGGATTTGGTAACTTGGGAAATAAACTGCTATCTGTAGCCACACAGTCTTCAAAATCAAACTGGTTTGAGACATCAATGACAGTAGTAGTTGAGTGCTAGATTGGTTCAAACACCACATTTGGTTGCAGCCTTCTTACAGGAGGACCTCAGGGGATCCCACAGGAATCATGCCTGTGTTTTGCTAACATTTCATGACTACAGATAACTTTATAGACCATCAAGTCTCTGCAATCATGTCAATGGCTTATTCATGTTGCTTTTCTCCATTTTCTCTTCATTCTCTACATTTAGAAACTGCTTTCAGAAGTGAGCTTTCTCTGTGCCAATTACACCCTGATCCAATGGCTGCAGAATGGCTGTGTAGTTCAATGGGAAAAGCTCAACTCCTACATGATCCAAGTGTGGGAGTATGTTGTGGGCAGAGCAATTGTCTATCAGCAAGAGGATACTGTGGATTGCTCCTTGCATTCCCTTGTCAATCTTTATCAGTCATTCAGTAACACATTTCTCATTATTCAGGCATGTGTATTGGCTTGGTAATCACGGGGGGGAACATTTCTGAAGTACTGATAGTTAGCTGACTTGCCAAAGACAATTGTTCCAGAATGCATTACAGTAGAATACACCAATCATCAATCTGTTTATTTCCTTTGCAAAGTCTACCTTTGGCATGAAGCATATGATAAGGTAACAAGAACATCTGTTTCATCAGCATTTAAAACATCATTCAGGCTGGGCGGGGTGGCTCACGCCTTAATCCCACTATTTTGGGAGGAAGAGGTAGAAGTACTGCTTGAACCCAGGAGTCTGAGACCAGCCTGGGCAACATAGCTAGACCCTGTATCAAAAACAAACAAAGAAACAAGCCATTGAAGCTGTAACCAGCAATTTTTGTTTTTGTTTTTAAGTTTCTCCTGCATGTAAGTTAATAATTTTCTCAACCAAAACAGTGTTTTCTTCACTACAGGCAACTTGTGAAACAATTCCAGAATATGCCCGAAGTTTCTTGAGGCAGCCCCCACTTGCTTGAAACTCAACATGGCTGACAAGCTCTGGATGTTTGTCCCTTCTAAATCTCAAGCTGAACTGTAATCCCCAGTGTTGAAGGTGGAGACTGGCAGGAGGCATTTGGATCATGGGGGCAGATCCCTCATGAATGTTTTGGTGCCATCCTTGTGGTAATGAGCAAGTTCTTACTCTATGAGTTCATGTGAGATCTGGTTATTTAAGAGTGTGACACTTCTTCCCCCTGCCTCTTGCTTCCTGTCTCACCATGTGACATGCCTGCTCCCACTTAATCTTCCACCACAACTGAAAGCTTCCTGAAGCCCTCACCAGGGGAAGATGCTGGCACCATGCTTCCTGTACAGTCTGCTGAACTGTGAGCCAATTAAACGTCTTTTCTTTATAAATTACACAGCATCAGGAATTTCTTTATAGTGATGGAAGAAGAGACTAACGCAATGCCCAAGGTTGACAAAAATCCAATGCTTTCTATAGCACAGTTACATGCCCATTTCTTGCATGAACCCGATACCATGCAGAAACAGTGTTAAAAGGGGCCTCACATTCACTTCTGCTTTAGTCCCAGAATCCCTTTATAAATTTTCTCTTCAATCTTGGCTCAATCTTTCAAAAATGTGAACAATGTTGGGGTCGTGGTGTTAAATTCCTTTGCTATTTCTCCTTTATTGTGGCAGCAATCTACTGCTTCCATTACTGTCATTTTTTTCTTCTAATGAGAACTGCTGGTGTTTCATTTTTCTTCTCTTAGCCATGATGGTGTTTATAAAGGTATTTAGAATTTAAGTAACAAATGTTGGCCACCAGGTGCCTATACCAGGTGTCAGTGATGTTTCTCCCTGTGCTAAAAACTTGTTTGAGTATAAACGTGGGTACTATAGTCTGGATATTTGTCTCCCAAACCTCACGTGGAAATCTGATCTCCAATGTTGGAGGTGAGGCCTAGTGGGAGGTGTTTGGGTCATGGGGGTGGATCCCTCATGAATAGATTAATACCCTCCCTGGGGGAGGATGGGGAGCAAGCGAGTTCTCACTCTATTAGTCCCCTGGAGAGCTGGTTGTTAAAAACAGCCTAGCACGTCCCCTCTCTTTATTGCTTCCTCTCCTACCACGTGATCTGGCATGCCAGATCACCATCACCTTCCACCATGGGTGGAGGCAACCTGAGCCCCTCACCAGAACAGATGCTGACACCATGCTTCCTGTACAGCCTGCAGAACCATGAACCAAATAAACTTCTTTTCTTCATAAATTGCCCAGCCTCAGTATTCCTTTATAGCAACACAAATGGACTAAAATAGGGAAAGAAAATGCAAAATGAAGCAGTCATTAAAGTGGAAGGAATATTATAGTCTGTCAACAGACAAACCTATAAGAAACATTAGGCAGAAAATAGGTAACCCATGGCCATGTTATTAGAACTGAATCTCAGCCTCAGAGTGTGCCACTACATAAAACTGAGGCATTAGAATAAAAATACTATAAAGGCCTGAAAAAGCAAATTCACAAAGGTAAAAGTCATTCTAAACAGAAACTGACATAAACAGCATTTTTCCATTTATTATTGGAAAACAGCTGCATGTATTTAAAACAAAGATAGCCTGTGGAAAACAGATTAAAGTTGTTCATTGGGAAGAAAAGGTAATGGAAAAGATGGGTATAGAAGTTCATATTGCAGAGCACAGAAGGGTCCTCAGAGCATAGTTTATTTACATATACTTTGTGTGGATGATAATGTGCCAGGAATTGAGGATGATGAACTACTCCATACCTGATGTCCAAAATTAAATAAAATTGTTATATATAATTATATATTAATTATAATATATGTAATTAACATAATAAATTATATATTAAACAATAATTTATTATAATATATAATTTACATTATATATTATTATTACTCTACTCCTGGTGTATATAAAATTATACACTGTATATAATTTTGGACTTCAGGTGTGGAGTGAGTTAATCATCCCCTCAGGGAGGGCATTAATCTATCTACAAGGGATCTGCTGTCATTTTTTTTTTATATATATATACATATACAGGGAAGAGGAGAGGGGGAGAAAGAGAGAGACTAGTTACAGCTAACAAAAATGTCACTATTTTAAAATGAAACGGATGCAGTGATGCTGAGTGTTATGAAATTCAACCTATATGAAATATGTCTGTAAAAAATTATATAGCTAATTGTGATGACTTTATTTTAGTTGTAAGATTGCTTGATCTCCTTTTTTCCTTAGCAGAACCTATATTTCCTTTACAATGAATCAATAATCAGAGTAGTATTGGTTATATTGCAAGTCCCAGACACCAAATTTACCTTAATAATTCACTGCTTATGTTAAACTCTTTGCTAGAAATGACAAAGAATATTTTGACTGGAAACTCACATGTATATTTTAAAAGATTTAATATACCCCAATTTCCACTGTTATTGACACTTTCTGGAAAGTATGAGAGTAACATTTTCTATTATTTATCATTCTTTTATTAGAAGTGGGATAAAACAGCTCAGTTTTATTGCTGCTTCTCCTTTATGAGCCACAGTCACTGATGATACAACAGTTCTCCCAAAATTGCATGAACTTATTCACACCATCTATCAAACTAAGACTTTTTAACAACCATCTATACTTTGTTAAAAAAAAAATTCAGATTACTGAGACCAGAAAGGGTCTCAGCAGCCAATAATTTGTTATATATAACTATTTTAACAACAACAACAACAACATTTTCTACATAGGAGAAAATTCTTCTGTATTTGTTCACATGCCGGCCCACAGAGCTGTACAAGTATGACTGAAGCATAAATTCAAGACGTGCCAGTTGAATAAATAAAACAGGTAGAATGCAAAACCTTAAGTCATTTCTTCACAGATGTGTAAATTGTTTTGGGGAAAAAAAATCTGTATTTTAACAAGTAAACTTTTAATCCTGAAGTTTAAGTTGACTAGCTATTTTCAAGTACAAAACTAATACAAGTTCCAATTTTAAAAGCTGCAGAACTAATCATAAGGTCAAAGCATGGCAATAACTTATTCTGACATTACCACTCAGGTGAACTGCACCTAAGACAAAACCAGTTAATGTCTAGCACACTTTCATCAGAACTAGTCTTCCCACTAGTTTCTTCACCTTCTTCCCTTACTCTTTGTTTCCATTACAGCTGTCGCTCACTTACTTACAGATGATATTGACCAATCTCTAGTTATTATCACTTTGAAGATCTATTTATTTTAAGCTGGATTTAAAAACCTCATTTACTGTGTTAAAACAGTAATCACATAAAACATACAGATTAGCAGGGATGCTGGGAACCTGGCATTACACTGCTCTTGGCTAAGTAATTTTGGGATTAATTTGTGTGAGGCCCTACCTGCAAAATAATTAAGCAGGCACCCCTGGCTGTGTAATCTGCCCCACTTTATTTCTTCTTCATTTTTCCATCACCCACTTCTTGTTCCCTTTTCTATGCATGATCAAGAAACTGCTATTTATCTTTTCTTAAAAAAAAAAAAAAAAGAGGAGAGTAGAACATTTCACAGCTGCCTGTATAAAAGGTCTAAACTACGCTGTATTTACTTCATTTGTTTCTCCCTGGTAACATGCTCTTTACCTTTTTCTCCTGTCCATCCTCCTGTGATGGAAGCGTGCAATGGAAAAAGAAGCAAAGATAAAGGACTGCCTATTTACCCAACTCCATGAGAGTCATTTACATCTCAAAGCATAAGAATAGTAAGCCCCTGAAATTAGTAACACACAATGTGAGAGGTTGTACAGATGGTTCTACACTGAGAGTCAGGACTAGTCATTTTTGAATGATTTTCCCTCCTTCAGTAAAAGTCTTGCTCAGGGAGTTATTCCAGAATACATGACTACCTATTAATATATTGTACATGCAAATTAGACCAAGATATAAAGAATATAAGAATTACTTCAAGGGAAACAATCTTCAAATATATATTTTAGAAATAAGCACCTCAATAGAAGACAAAACAAAATGACCAGAATCATAAAATGTTAACAAGCAGGAACCTTATTAATAATGAAAGCCTTTCCTTTAAAAGACAGAGAATTATAAAATGGGCAAAATATTTTAATGAAAGTATAATACACTTCTTAATAGTTTCACATGCCACATTATCTTAATACTTAAGAAACTAACTTGAAGTTTGGGGCAGAAAACCTTAAAAATAATTTAAATTAGTTTAAACAAGTTTGGGATAGAATCAGAGGACTTCATGGCTTGAGGGAATTAGCATAACCTCAAATTCTCACTTTGCTACTTATAACCTGTGTGTCTTTAGGTGCCAACTCTGATTTTCAGTTTCCATCTTTATAAAAGGGGCACTACTATCTATTGCATAGATAGGTACTAAATGTGTGTATTAAATAAGACGAATACATTTTAAAGGATGCAGATGTTCAATGAATGGTAGCTACTGTCATACTCACCACTTTGTCTAACTCTCCCTTCTACATCCCCTTCTGAGAAACCCAGACCCAGGGAGATGTCTTTACCAGGAGGGTGCGATCACCTAGGTCTCCCAATTTCCAGCCCACCAATATTTCACCACCTCACCCCATCTTACTTTTAAATTGATAAAAGGCCTTTGCATATATATTACAATATTTAAGAAACAAAATTATAATCACTTGTTTTAAAAACTGATTATATATATGTTGTTTTTAAGGTAAAATATACTTTTTAAGTATCTTTCCCGCCGGGTGGGGTGGCTCACGCTTGTAATCCCAGCACTTTGGGAGGCTGAGGCGGGTGGATTGCTTGAGGTCAGGAGTTGGAAACCAGCGTGGCCAACATGATGAAACCTTGTCTCTACTAAAAATACAAAAAAGTAGCCGGGTGTGGTGGCGCACATCTGTAATACCAGGTCCTCGGGAGGCTGAGGCACGAGAATCGCTTGAACCCGGGAGGTGAAGGTTGCAGTGAGCTCAGATCGCACCACTGCACTCCAGCCTGGGCGACAGAGTGAAACTCTGTCTTAAACAAAACAAAATAAGACAAAACAAAACAAACAAAACAAAGCACCTTTCCATCTCTTGGATGTACTACGGTCCCTGAAAAAAGGAGAAAGGCTTTGCTGGCGACAGCCTGAGGACTGACAATCTGAGTCTTATCTGGCTTCCCCCAATGTCATGGACTACTGTTCGCTGCCGAAGGCTTACTCAAAGACGCACTGGAAGCCTCCAGAAGAAACTTCATTCAGTTAAGTTCTACACATTGTGTTGCAGGGCTGAAAAAGTACGCGTGTCCACACAATGACAAAAGAAAAGGGGCATCTCCTGAAAACACCACCATGCTCCCCTAACTATGAGTCTGGTGAGCCAGGACACTAAGAAACTGGAGGCAACGAGAGAGTTCTAGGGGTGGGGGAGTCCATGGATGAAGCACCGAACAGACTGGCGCCTGCAAGATGAGTCCGGGAAATGGGCTCTGTGGGGCCAGAGAGCTCCACCGACTTGGGGTGCGGGTACAGGGCGTCCACCGAGAGGCAAAGATTTGGGCTGCCCGAGAGGACGCTCCCTCCCTGGGGGGCCCGCAGGGCAGCCAGGAAGGGCAGAGACGGGAGCGTGATGGTGCGGCCGCCCGGTCCCCTCCAGGCCGGAACCCAGCCACTCTGCACCATAGCCGCCGCCGCTTACCTTTTGCGGGGTCACGTCCTCTCAGCGCCCGAGACACCCCGCCCCACCTCACCGCCCCACCTGCGAGAGAGAGCGGTAGAGCGCGCCCGGCCTGGCGCCACAGCGTCCCCTATCTTCCGGAGGTTGCAGCGCGGGGCTGCAGGAATCCATCCAGTGCTCGTCGTTCCGGTTCTGAGGACCTCGCGCCGGTCCTTGAGGTCTGCGGGCTGGAGTTTGCAAGGGACGTTTTTGCTTTCTTCCCTTTTTGACCTTTAGTTTTCCACCTCCCAACTTCAAATTACCTTCCAGTTCCGTGTGTATGTTTGTATAAATAAAAGGAGACATCTCCTAGAAGTATGTTTATTTCATGAAAGTGGAAAGCATTCTGATTTGGGAAAGAAAGCTAGATCTGATCTCCTCCTACCCCTACTTTAGGGGCACAGTCATTTAAGTGTAGAGTTAATACTCTGCCATTACGTTAGGGCCTTGAGAGTCCAAGATGCAGATGTATGCAGGTGCAGTTGAGACAAGAATAGATATAGGGATGCTGGTTTGCACATACTTTGCTGATGTTTAAGTTTGTTGGGATACACGTGAAAACTGATATGGTTTGGCTCTGTGTCCCCACCCAAATCTCATGTGGAATGATAGCCCCCTTGTGTTGAAGGAGGGCCCTGGTGAGAGGTCACTGAATCATGCGGCAGACTTTCCCCTTGACGTTCCATGCTGAAGTTCTCAGAAGATCTGTTCCTTTAAAAGTGTGTAGCACTTCCCCCTTCGCACTCTCTCTCTTTCTGTCTCTCTCCTGCACCATGGTAGGACGTGCTTGCTTCCTCTTCTGCCATGATTGTAAATTTCCTGAGGCCTCTGGAGCCATACCTCCTGTACAGCCTGTGGAACTGTGAGCTAATGAAACCTCTTTTCTCTATAAGTTACCCAGCCTCAGGTAGTTCTTTCTAGCAGTGTGAGAAGACACTAATACAAAAACCAAAAATAAAATTCTAAGCACCACCACCACCCACCTACCCCCAAAAGGAATGGACCTCTGTCTTGGCCAAGGTAATCTCAAAAAACCCTGAAAAATGAGTTCAGGCCCTGATGGGAAGGGGTGGGTGGTTGGACATGCCTCATTATACCCTCCTCCCATTGGAGTTTAGACACAACTGACCAGAATTAACATTAAAACGGAGATCTTAAGACTGATAAAATATACTGTAGCAATAAGAAAATTCCAACCTGACTCTGGAATAACATCACATGACACATAGTGGGACCTGAAAGAAATAAAAATATGTTACCCCAAAATATATTTATTCAACATATTTTGAAATGGCCTTGAAAAGCTGTCTCTTCCGGGGAAAATTTACATTCTATACAGAATCACTTTCCCTTACTAGTTTTTTTGTTTTTTTTTTTTTTTTGAGATGGAGTGTGGGAGTGTCACTCTGTTGCCCAGGCTGGAATGCAGTGGCATGATCTTGGCTCACTGCAACCTCCACCTCCTGGGCTCAAGCAATTCTCCTGCCTCATCCTCCCAAGTAGCTGGGACTGTAGGTGTATGCCACCATGCCTGGCTAATTTTTGTATTTTTAGTAGAGACAGAGTTTCACCATATTGATCAGGCTGGTCTCGAACTCCTGACCTCAGGCAATCCACCTGCCTCAGCCTCCGAAAGTGCTGGGATTACAGGCATGAGCCACTGCGCCTGGCCCCTTACTAGGTGTTTTCCAGAGAGTCTGACATCTTCTAAGGTCTGATAACAGATGTTCACATCTATTCTCTGAAGCCAGCTACCTGGAGGCTTTATCTACATAATGAGAACCTTGGTTGCCACAACACCCCCGCTTACCTTAGCTCAAGCTGGCTTCACATCTTCAGGCAGAGCTTAACTCTTTCAACTAATCGAAAACATGAAAAATTTTTCAATTCACTTTTGACCTGGAAGCCCTCTCCCACGTCCGCACGCTGCTTAGAGATGGGCCAAACCAATGTATACCTTACATGTATTGATATATGTCTTTGCCTGTAACTTCCATTTCTCTAAAATGTATACAATCAAGCTGTAGCCCGATCACCTTGGGCACATATTCTCAGGACTGTCTGAGGCTGTGTCACAGGCCATGGTCCTTAACATTGGAGAAATAAACCTCTAAAGTGATTGAGACCTATCTCATAGACTTTCTGGTTTACACAAGTTATATTACAATGAACAGAATAGTTGGAATGGAAGGTACCCATATTTTGGCATGGGTTTATGTAAAGTTTTGGTAAATATGTTTCGAATTTAAAACTTGTTCTCCCAAGCCAAATTAACTTCACATTTGATTTGAGGTTTAATTTTTTAAAAATTTTAATATTTATGTGTATATATTTATGGGGCACATGAGATATTTCGATACAAGCATACAATGCATAATAATCACATCAGGGTAAATGGGGTATCCACATCGAGCATTTATCATTTATGTTACATTCCAATTATACTCTTAGTTATTTTTAAATGTACAATCAACTATTGCTGACTGTAGTCACCCTGTTGTGCTATCAAATACTAGATCTTATTTATTTTATCTAACTATACTTTTGTACCCACTGGAAATCCCCATTTCCCACTCCTCCCGCCCCCACTACCCTTTCTAGCCTCTGGTAACTATCATTCCACTCTCTATCTCCATGAGTTCTTTTGTTTTAATTTTTATCTCCCACAAATAAGTGAGAACATGCAAAATTTGTCCTTCTGTGCCTGGCTTATTTCACTGAAAATAATGTCCTCCAGTTCCATCTATGTTGTTGCAAATTGTTTTTTATGGCTGAATAGTACTCTGTTGTGTATATGTACCACATTTTCTTTATCCATTTATCTGTTGATGGACACTTAGATTGCCTCTAAATTTGGTTACTGTGAATAGTGCTGCAATAAACATGGGAGAGCAGGTATCTTTTTGATGTGTCGATTTCCTTTCTTTTAGGTATATACCTGGCTTGAAGTTTAATTTTTAAAAGTTCATTGACATCTGGTATTACAAGGCAATCTTCTGACAGAGTAAGTTAAATTTCAATTAAAAAGCTGTTACTGCAGTAGCTAAAAACAATTGCAAGGCTACAAAATATTATTGTGTTGTATCCTAAGCAGACCCAAACTTTTTTCTTATCCCTTAGGGTTCTCAGTAATCTGTAACATGTCAGATGTCACTATGGAAACAAAGTACTTTTACTGTCATGATCAGTAGAAAGTGATCAGATGAAAGAATACAAGAAACATAAAAATGTGTAAGAAAAGAGCACAAGCCGTAGGTAAAGATAACAGAGAAAAGCCTGAGGGCCTTGCCCATTTCATGGATATGAATACAATGTGAATGATATGAATGATTTTGTTTATAAGTCATTCCATTTTATGATGCTTTTAAGAAATTACGTTGAAGAGTGATGCCAATCAGATTCGGCTTTTGTAATCTTCATTTTGAGCAGGGCCATCAATATTTAATAATATTTCCAGGGGATTTTGTATTTGATGGGATTGCATAAAGCAAAGTTTAATCTGTGTGAAAACACATTCAAAGGGACCAACGATATCTATTTTAACCTGGGGTTCCCAAAGTGTGCTCTGAGAACAACACTGGTGGTCTGGGAGCCTTCTCAAGGGATCACCGATGCCACTAGTGCTTTTTAAAATTCAGGCAAGAATAGTTGATTGACAATATTTAATAAAAGTCATACATGACTGGTATTTTGTCAAAGGCAGTTCTTTTTTTTTTTTTTTTTTTTTAAATAATAACATAAATGCTGGCGCTTGTTTTTTTTCCTAGCAGAAAGCCAAGCCAAAGCAGTTGATATGATCAATGTGAGCCAAGGATATCTGACTCCCTTGAATGAATTATTAGTTGACAAATGAAAAAATTAAACATGTTGTGGTAATTTGAAAAAAATCTTCCTAATCCTTCACCCCTCCCTATGTCCCACCTTTATCCATGCTCTCCCGCTCTGACTCTGGGGGGGTCACCCTTGTGATTTATTTTTGCTAACATGATATTAGCAAATGTGACACGAAATAAGCTGGAAAAACACCTGAACTGGTAAACATACTCCAGCTAGCCTGCTGGAGATTAAAAACATACAGAGCAAAGCCAAGTCATCCTAGTTATTCCAACTGAGGCCACTCGAGATTGACCAGTTAGGTGTGCACGCCTTGAGTGAGGTCAGTCAAGCCTGCCCAGATCTGCTGAACTCTGCAGATTTATGAACTTAAATATGTGTATTTTTGTTTGCCACTGAGGTTCAGTTCGTTGTTGTGCAGCATTATGGTGCCAATAGAAACTGATTATATGCCCTCCATTGTAAATTCCTCGGAATCAAAGAGTATTTGCCTGGTAGTTTAAGGAGCGGTCTGTTTTCTAGTGGTGCTTGTAAGAAGGACAAACATCTTGCTATTTTTGAAAACTATGTAGTTGTCTGGCATCACAAGAATGTCTGACCTGGGAAGAAAATGAAATCTATGAAATGCTATGAGATATAAATTAGTAAAAAAAAAAAAAAAAAAGAATAGGGAACTGATATTATTAGAGGATCACAATTCATTACTGTTTTTCTTCCATATGATTTTAGCAGAACTGTTTTTAATACTTTTCATGTCAGGTCATCATGTATTTACTTCTCTCACATTTTGAAATACTGGAAATAATAATAATTTATTCTATATTATTTAAAGTCTTGTGTGTTTTTTTTGTTTTTTGAGACGGAGTCTCTCTCTGTGGCCCAGGCTGGAGTGCAGTGGCGCAATCTCAGCTCACTGCAAGCTCCGCCTCCCAGATTCATGCCATTCTCCTGCCTCAGCCTCCCGAGTAGCTGGGACTACAGGCACCTGCCACCACGCCCAACTAATTTTGTTTTTGTGTTTTTAGTAGAGACGGGGTTTCACGGTGTTAGCCAGGATGGTCTTGATCTCCTGACCTCGTGATCCACTCGCCTCAGCCTCCCAAAGTGCTGGGATTACAGGGGTGAGCCACCACACCGGCCTATTTAAAGTCTTAAAGTACCTTAAAAGTGATATGAGATGAAAACAT